GGCAGTGCTAGGGGCAGGCAGGTCTGCCGAGACATGGCCGCGCGCGAGCTGCGCGACGCGCGCGCGACATGGCCGACGCCGCCCGCGCCGTCTCGCCGACGACCCCATCGCGCAGTCCGAGGCCCCGGTCCGCGAGGATGTAGAGAGACACGCCAATCAGCGCCCCGTCAACAGCGCTATTCAATTTCCCCTAGATAACGAGCTCGCGGCATTCTCCCGCGCGGATGGCGGGCCCAGGGGCCCCCGCGAGACCCCGCGGGGATTTGCAAGCATGTTCGACATTCGTTGCCGAGGTCCACGAGGCCACCAGGGCCCCCGTCTACATCTACAGCGCATTCGGGACTTCGGCCATGGACTGCCCCACGGCAGGTTGCGCGACAATTTTACGTCGACGCCGACTTCTGACAGATCTCGGCCCTCGAGGGCGCGGGGCAATTCAACCCCGTTACAAGCAACGAGCGCCGAAGAAAGACATCGCGCCCCATTTGGGGCTCAACTCGTGGAATCGACGTCTGCAGGAGAGTTGCCCCAGCCGCGGCGGCGCGCGCGCGGCCCCGACGCCGCCGAGCGAGAGATTCGCCTTCTCCATGCAAAGTCAGTCATGCGATTACGCTGGCATGAGCGAGGTCTGCATCGCGCGAAGCGCGCTCGCTATGCTTCGTTGAATCCATCGCGCTTGACGCGAGTGTTCTTCTTCGCCAGCATCTGCGCGACCCGCGCCCCACGAAGCCGCCGCCCCCCCGGCCCCGCCGCGCCAGCGCTGCCAGGGGCGAAGCCAGAGGGCGGCGGCGACGGCAGCGAGAGGAGCGGCAATAAGCTCAAGAGGGAAGACGCTGGACCGCGGAGGAGACGCCGGGCGCTCTCGAGAAAACACATGAACAACCCCCCATCGCCAGGTGCTATGCCCCCCGATGAAGCAGCTGATCGAGGTGCGCCAGCAAAGCAGCGATCTCTCCGGCGTTGCGCTCGATGCGTTTCTTTCCCCTGCCACGCGCGCCGTCGCCGCAGTGACGAGCCAACGCGCCGTCGCCTACAACTAGCGTCTCCTCGTGCCACTACTCATTTGCCGCGCAATGAACGCTGCCGCTGATTTCAAGATTTCCTGTGCACAATTACTCTCGGCAGCCATTCTGGAATGGGAATAAACTTCGAGTCGCACAGGGGGCAGCATCAGAATCGCCGAAGTTTTGCCGGGGCCAGCGAATGGAAGAGCGTTGGAAGGGGAATCTGCACGATGTGAACCAAGAGTTCGGAAGGATTCCGCATCGCTGCGGAGTTGGACTCAGACTTGCCAGAGGACGTGTGGGACAGAGAGAAATATTGAGTTGGAGAGGCAAGTGCGCTTTAATTTCCCGAATTAGTAAGGTTTCTAACTCAGGGGATTTCCAAGGTCAGCGAAAACGGTTGGGGCGAGGAGGACTTTGCAAGTCAATTTCCTGGGTTAGAAAGGATTCCGACCCGCGGCAGACTCGAATGCAGATGCGCTGGCGGACGCCGGGGCCAGAGGGAAATATTCAGTTGGACGAGAATTTACATTTGAATTCACGAAGTCCGACATAATAATGAACTGCAGATGCACGAGAATCAGTTGAGCAAGGGGATTGCCAGGGACAGAGATAAACATTGACTTGCAGAGGCATGTGCGATTTCAGTTCCAGGAATAGACAGGAGATCGAGTCGTGGTGGATTTGGATTCAGATGTGAAAGAGGATGCCCGAAACAGAGCCAGATAGGTTCGGAAAGGAATTCGCACGAAGCTCCACAGTTAGAAAGGATTCTGAATCGCGGAGGAAGTGGATTCAGATATTGCCAGAGGATTGAGATTCAATTACACGTCGCTCTCCAACTCACTGTCTCTCTGACCCGTACCATCTGCTGGCAATCCCGCTTCTAATTGCTATACGGTTCCGAATTTTTAAACTCTGGAAATTCCTTCGCATCATGCTTTCCACTTTGATATTTCAATCTGGCCCTCGCAATATTCTGGCAATGATGCTTTGAACTTGTCTACAATAGTGCGAGCTCGTGCGGTTTTGCCGCCACGACAAACTGCGCCGGAAAGAGCAGGGTTGGTCGACCATTTCCTTTCGCGACCCAGTTTTTGTGTTCAGAACACGGTGGTTGCAGCGAGCGATCACCCACATCCCGAATGTCATGAGGAAGTTCGGTTTCGCTCCATCAGCGTTCATGGAGAGAGAGAGAGAGAGAGAAAAAAAAACAAAAAAAAAACAAAACAAACAAAAAAAAACAAACAAAAAAACGATTCAGCAGCTCCTAGACACCCATTCGCAGCTATAGATGGTGGTGATGATGATGGCGATGCTTATGATGATGACCTGTAGGCTTTCGAAGCTTTCACGACATGGACCCAAGCCGAACGCGCCAGTTGTCCTCATAACGCGAAGAGTAAGGGGCAGGGTAGCATCATGGGGAATGTTGACGGCCCCCCACTTCCCCCTCAACCTCCTGTTGTGAGTTCGTTTGAGGCTGTCCCTGTGTTGTACCTCATTCCTCCTCCTCCTCGTCCTCCTCCTCCGCGTTTCGTTCCAACTTCGCGGCCCTGATGCGTATATAACCTGGCATACGCACCGTCCTCCTAAATCCATAGCCGCACCGCGTCCAGCCGTCCGTCGTTGTGCGATCAGCAGGGCGTACGGGTGCGCTTTGTTGTAATCAGCAGTTGCGAAGTGAACTTACGCTATGACAAGACAAGATTGGTGTTGAAGATGCGCGTAACGTATCGTGTCCTCTTCCTGCTCCTCCCGATCCTCTTCGTATTCCTTCTCCTGCCCCGGGGGGAATGGAACGTGAGGGGTGAGGGAACGGAAGAGGAAGAGAACGGGAGCGAGCGGAGGTGGGCAAACAAATGTAATTGGGAGAATTGGATAGCCCATGCGGGCTCAGGCGGCGCCCGGCGCCCCGACGCAGAACGAAACACATGGGGTTCCAACCCCCAGGCGCGGCCAGGTTTGCCCGGAAACTGTTTGCCAGAGGCTTCTCACAGGGAACATGGCGCGCCAGAGTTGGCGCGCAGAGCTCGCCATCAAGGGAGTTGGCGGCGCCGCTCCTATCAGGGAGCATTTAGGCGCATCTATGTTTTGAATCGCATTCTCTGCCAGAGGCTTCTCACAGGGAGCATGGCCTGCGCGCCACAGCTCCATATCAGGGGAGTTGCCGAGCCAGAGCTCGCCACCACGGGAGTTGGCGGCGCCGCTCCCATCAGGGAGCATTTAGGCGCAGATCCTTTCAGGGAGCATTCTCTGCCACAGGCTTCTCACAGGGAGCATGGCCTGCGCGCCACAGCTCCCTATCAGGGGAGTTGCCGAGCCAGAGCTCGCCATCAAGGGAGTTTTTGGGAGCAACTCCTTTCAGGAAGCATTCTCTGCCAGAGGCCCTTTTCAGGGAGCATTTAGGCGCAACTCCTTTCAGGGAGCCACGGGACAGTCTTGCGCCAAAGACGGCGCGCAGTGCAGCGACGAGGGGTGCCGGCAGAGAACGCAAAGACCGCCGGCACGACAGAGTGGCAGGGCAGCGTGTCGACAGCACACCACCGCGCAGACACGTGACTGGCGCTGGAGGCGAGGCGCCGTCAGGAAGAAACATCATTTTGCGATCCAGGCCAGCGGAAGGCGTCGTGGGAGCACGGGTTTCTGCGCGCGGCGGTTCGCCGGGTCCGCATGCGTCACCGCGACTCAGGACAGCGTTTCGTGGCCCCATCGGGGAGCTCCACCGAAGGCTCCAGTGGCAGGGTCCGCACGCGCCACCGCCACCCAAGACAGCGCTTCATGGCCCGTCCGCATGCGCCCGCGCAACCGATTTCGGCGTACCCCTCTCACGCTTCGTGGCCTCATAGGGAGCTCCACCGAAAACGGCACCCACAATGCGGCACTCGCAGCTGCATGTGGTTGGGTCCCTCGCCAGGCTAAGTGTTTATTCGGGAGGGGGGTCCTTGTGTTTTTCATTCCTAACCATCCTGTGGTGCTGGGTCCTCGTTTTGAAGAGACGGTCCCCGCGTTCCTCCTTCCTCCCTCATCCCCCTCCTCCCCCTCCTTCCTCCCTGCGCTTCACCCACCCAGTAAGTCCAGCGTTTCGTGGCCCCATACTGAGCTCCACCGAAGCCCCCCGTGGGGCCGCCCGCATGCGTCACCCACCCATTTCGGCACACCCCTCACACGTTTCGTGACAATAAAATAGAATATGCAGCTGCTACGTATTTTCCTTCCTCCCCCATTCCTTTCTCCCACCCAATGCTGAGCTGTTGCACATGGCGGGCAAGGGGAAGGGTCAGGGACAACTGGAAATAGGGAGGGGGAGGAGGAAGGAGGCGGAGGGGATGAAGGTAAGGAGGCTGAGGAGGAGAAGAGGAGGAGGGGGATCATGCATTGCAGGAGCAGGGGGCGCCGCAACGTAGCCTTCCTCATCCCCCACCCCAGTCCCTCACCCCCTTGCCGCCAGTCCTTCTCTTCTGCTGCACTCCTCCTCCTCCTCCTCCTCCTCCTCCTCCTCCTCCTCCTCCTCCTCCTCCTCCTCCTCCTCCTCCTCCTCCTCCCCTCCTCCTCCTCCTCCTCCTCCTCCCCCCCCTCCTCTTCCTCCTCCTCCTCTTCCTCCTCCTCCTCTTCCTCCTCCTCCTCCTCCTCTTCCTCCTCGCATTCGTAGAGACTCGGTGCAAGACCAGCGGCGGGAGGTCACGCTTGCATTTCTTTCAGCGGGCCCGGCCCCACCTGCAGAAAGGCCAGATGGGGGTTCGTTCCCTCCCCTTCGCCACCTTCTCTTCCCTCCTCCGCCCTCCTCGTGACTGAGACATGACTACCGACGGCGACGAGCCAAGCCATGATGGCGACGACGATTCACGGCGACTGACAGCGACGACGAGGAGGACGACAACGACGGACGATGACGCGACAGACGACGACACGACAGACGACGTCAGACGACCAACGACCGACCGATGACAGGCGAGGACGAGTCGCGCCCGCTGCGCCCGCACGCCGCCCGGTCAGGGCCCGCAGGCGGGGACCGCTCTGGAGCTGGAGTTCCCGCGGAACGCCGCGCCGGGCGACGCGCTGTTCGCCCTGGAGAGGCCCCCGGCTGGGACGGGGCGCGCTCGGCCAGGGGCAGCGCCAGGGGGGACAGGCTCAGGGGGGCGGGCGCCGGGTTCGAGGTACGTTCTCGTCGGTCCCCGGACGTTTTCCATCCAGCAGCTGCGCCTCGCCGATGGCGTTCCGGGGGATGGCCAGATCGTTCCCAACGACCGCCGGGGAGTCGAGGCATGGCCCGGTGACCGAGGCTCCTGAGAGGGGCAGCGTCAGAGGTGGGCTGGGCCCAAGAGTGGAGGGTGGGCGCGTCGAGCCCCTTATCGCCCATGGATCGTCGCCGATGGGGGCCCGATAGCCCACACCACCCAGGAACGCGGTTTCGCTGTCGGGGCCTGCCGCCGAGCAATCAGCGATGTATCGTCGATGGCAGGTCGATGTTTCCCCCCGGTGCCAGTCCCCCCTGCCGCTGTCCCTCAGTAACGAGAGTCTCTGCCGCTGCCCTCTGGCTGATCCTGGGGTTGGGAGCCACGTTAAGCTTCCCTCGCTTCCCTCCTCTGACCCAGATCAGCGCTACCTCGGGTCAGCGCGTCCCCGACGGGAGTGACGGGGGCAAAGGGTTTGGGACGTCCCTGCACGAGGATCGAGGCAACTTCGGCGGCGACCACGACGCCGGCGCGCTTGCGGGCAGCGGCCGCTACGGCACTAATGACGACGACGACGACGCCACGCAGCGGCGACGCGCTGTCCGCTCTGGAGACGCCCCATCGCCAGGGGGGGTGAAGGTCAGACGTTCGTTGGACGAGGATCGGAGGGTGTTGGGCGAGGATCTTTTTATTTTCAGCGCGGGCAATGGTTTTTTGGACGACGATCTAAGGTTGTCGGACGCGCTGCGTGCCGCAGAGAGGCTACCTCGGGGGCACGAACTGCACCTGTTCCGGGCTCCAGGGGCGTCAAAGATCCTTGTTGGGTGAAACATGTGTCAGGGTGGGCCCCCGGCGGGCTTTGAGGACCGAAGAAGGTTGCCAAGATGGACCTCTGGACAGGCCCCCATCGAGTGGGCGAAAAGCTTTGGGCATGTGTTAAGACGTTTCAGGTATCTTCGAGGATCGAGGACGTTCCCGTAAGTTTTAAGCATGATGCACCTTGTTCATGTCTGGTCGCGTTGAACGCAGCTTGCTCTTAGTGTGTTGGTTGTATGGTGCCTTCGTCGGACAAGGATCGAGGTTGTTGATTGTTTATTTCATGTCTCTGTTTGGACGCATTTGGAAGGTTGGAGTAAACGAGATGGGTCTTCAGTTCCCAACCAACCTGTGGTGTGGGGTCCTCGTTTTGAAGAGACAGCGCCACGTGTTCCTCCTCTCCTCTCCTCGTCTATCCTCTCCTCCTCTACCTCCTCCCTCCTCCCATCATCAACATCATCATCATCATCATCATCATCATCATCATCATCATCATCATCATCATCATGCACATCATCATCATGCACATCATCATCAGCATCAGCATCACCACCATCACCATCATCAGCATCACCATCATCATCATACAACTGCATGCTGAGTGTTTTGATATTTGGAATGTCGAGTGCCGCAGCCACTGCGGCTCAAGCTTAACTTGGGCGGCTCAATGCAGGATCTCCGCTGGATTAGTCGTCGTTGCCGCTGTGGGCCTCCGAACTGTGTGTTGCGGTCTTCGCCGTCGTGGCGGGCCGCTCGCAGAGGCGCTCCGCGATTTCGGGCGCGCGAGCACGCGCGTGCGGCAACGTCCCCACTGCGGCGGCGTTGGTCCTGGATGTGCGGGCCTTGGGGCGTTTCCCTCGTGCCTCGTCCACTCCTATCTCCTCTGACCATTCCGCCCCGGCCCTCCAAAATTTGCGCTTATACGCAACAGCCGTGCTCGGCAAGGGCCATCCCAAGCCCCAGGATGGTGCAAACTGGCTTCAGTCAATGTGTGTACTCACCATGACATGGTCTAGGACAGCCCTGGCCAGGCAGGGTGGTGGTGCACAGCTGCCTTTGCGTGTACGGTGTTTCCTTCTGCCTTTCCAGTTCTCCTCATCCGTCCGCCCCGCGCCTGCGATTGCGAAAGCATGTGGCACAGACTCGAACTGACCGACGAGCAGGCCACAACAAGCAGAACAAGTCCCAACGATTTCGCCATTGTGACGGATTGCATCACTGCGGCCAGCAATGTCTCGCAGGGCCATGGGCGATATTGGCGGGTGCGCGCCCCCCCCCGCCACGCGCTTCTGCACCGGCTGTTTCGCAAACTCCACGGGCGCGTCGATACGGCCACCATTTCAGCAACGTGTCCTTGCATTGGCGCGTGCGCGGTGGTATCCCCGCGGCGGCGTCGGCGGCGGCTATTCCAGCGGACAAAGAGCGTTTTTGTATGAAGGATTCCGCCGTCGGGGACGCCTGCCCTGGGGCAGTTGGACAGTCATTGGCCTGCCGCCGTAGGGTTTGTAGAATTTCAGCCGCCCTGGGGCAGGCGTCCACAACGACGGAACATTAATCATTTGTCCTATATTGATGTTCGTATGTGAATCATCTTCGGCAGGGGAGCGGGAGGAGGAGGGGAGTGTGGAGGGACGAGGGCGAAGAGGAGGGTGGCTTCCAAACAGAGAGACGAGCGCCCACAGCGATCAGGATGAAGTGGGACAGGGGCGAGGGGAGGGGAGGGGAGGGAAGGCGGATTGGTGGGAGGGATGCGGGAGCAGGAGGGGCAGCGGCGGAAGGCCAGATGGCACTTGGCGCTTGCAGAAGCGCACAGACGAGTTCGCGTTCCTGCTGCCCGACTGCAAGCCGGGCGACACGCTGAGGCGCCAGCTTCCAGACGGAAGGGGGGAAAGAGGTGATAGTCAGGGTATTTCAGGCAGCCTTGAGATACGAATGCAGCGTTCCAAAAATTCTTGCAGCGATCCAGAGCGCTCTGCAACAGCCGCGACCCCTGGCTTTGTTCTCGTTCGCAGACTCTCATGTATCGATTTGAGATGTATGCGCAGTACCCGATGTGTTTCCTCATGCTGGGATTTACAAGAAGGATGTGTTCGCCATTGCGTTTGCTTGCATCCTAGCTCCATTCCACATTGCCTGTCCAGTGTTCGTCTCCGCCGTCGGCGTGCGCGTTGCAGTCCGTCGCGCATCCCAATCATGTTTTGCACATCGTCGGGGACATACGTGATGTATCGGAGACGCCGACGGCGAACCACCGCCGTCCCCTGCCCTTTGGAAATGCCCATGTGGCCAAACGTTGTGCCGAAGTCTGGCCAAGCTATTGGACTTTGTGTTCCTCCAGCCGTTGTGGAACTTTGGAACACCTTGGGGGAATATTTGGGGGAGTAAGAGAAAGGATGAGGAGAGGGAGGAGAAGGAGGACGAGGGGGAGGAGGAAAGCTTTGGCCTCTTGGATGCCTCTGAGGAGCCACTTCCCAATATTGTCCATCAGCAAGAGGGGATTTCATGTTCACTGTCCCGCCCACGTGAACGTCCTGCCCGTCGCCATCGTCGTCGTGGTTTGCAGGTTGCCAGCGGCGAGAGTGGGGGGGGCGTTCGAAAACACTCACACACACACACACACACGACTTGCAATTTCGGATTTCGGGGGAGGGAAGGAGGGAGTGTGCAGCAGTGCAGCACATACAGAATTCGCCCCATCAGATGTGTTGGGGCGGCATGTTGAGGCTCCCTGGAGGCCTCTCCCGGACGCCGGCGTGTGGCCAGGTTCACCCCCTTCCCGGGGAGCGGCTCGTGAGTAGCAAAGAGTTCGATGTCTGGTTGCTCTCACAGCGCCGCTTTCTTCGTTGCGGGATCTTCGACCCCGACATCTCAACCGCCGGGTCAGTTTTAGAGGTCGCCAGGGCGGTCGCAGCGGCCACACATCGGGGCAAGGTTGTGTCAAGGAGCGGCATGCTCCCAGACCCCCCCCCTCCCTTGCGATGCAGGCGTGGCCCGTAACGAACAAGAGCGCGACAGAGAGCCTTCAACTTGTGTCCAACATTGGGATTATCACGCAGCGACTCCTGTCTCACACGAGAGGCGGGCAGCCACGCTGCGCCCGCGCATCGCCCTGCTTGCGCTGCGTCCTCGGGGGGGGGGGGGGGGCTCGCGTGTCCTCTACATGGCTGCCTCTTCTTTGGGCGGCGGCGCCCCTCGCCCCGTCCGGCAGCCCGCGCACCGCGCGCTTGCAGCGGCGGTGGCAGCTCCGATCCCTCCTCCTCCTCCTCCTCCTCCTCCTCCTCCTCCTCCTCCTCCTCCTTCCATACCATCTACCAGTACCAGGTGCCAAGAATGTCCCTGTTCAGACTCTGGGACCAGAAGCCTTGTTACCCCAACCTTCACGAGCACCGCTTCAAGGACGGGAATGCCCATGTGCCCCACCCGACTCGGCAGGGCTATGCCTCCCGTCAAGGGCATCAGCAATACATGACGATCATCCTCCTCATCCTTCCTTCTCCTCCCTCATTCCCGATCCTTGAGGATGAAGATTTCTAGACGGTATTGGTCTTTATTTGTGGCTTTTTGAAACCTCTGCTCGTCATCCTCCTCCTTCTCACTTGCCTCCTCGTTCCCCCTTCCTTCACTCCTCATCGACGTCCCCATTTCGATGTTTTAGCATCCAAGTGTCTGGTCGTTCTTTGTATTTTGTGGGCATCCCGGTGCCTCACAAAGGCCTCGACAGGCTTCCTTCCCCCTTCGACTACACGTAAGAGTGATCTTTCGCCAGAGTGACCTTTGGTGGTAGCCCAAAGGGGGTCTGGTGATTTCTCATGTGGGACGAGCTTGACCTCGCGTCGGCACCCGCATCGCGTGATTACGCTCGCATCTGAGCGCGCTAGTTTGGGCCCATCCCTTGCAATCGACAGCAACGCATACGCGTCGCACCCTACAGTTAGCATTGGTTAACCGAGGGGGAGCCGGTCGACCAGACGGCGCGTTTTCCGGCCCAGGACCAGTCCCGAATTCCAGCCCAAATCCCAAATCGTGTGGCATGAATATATTTGGGTATTTTTGGATATGTTTGAATTTGTCTGAATCTGTGATTCGAGCCAATGGGGGTCTTTACGATTATAAATGATTCAAATATATTTAAACATGTTCCAGGCTCTCGGATGGGGCCAGTTTTGGCCATGACGCCAGGCCTGGTCAGACGCCATCGCGATGCAGCCCGGCAGTGCCAGACTTCGTCGCGGTGGCAACGTCTGCTTTCGCAGCGCCTTCGAAGTGACATTCGGGGCGTTCGAATTCAATCGGCGGCATTCCGCGGATGCCCGCTGGCACCAACAATTGTTCGAGTGGCGCCCCGCCGATCGACGATGCGGCGCGGCAACGCCGGCTTGCGCGATTGCGTTGGGCCCCCACGGGCGCCCCTGAAACCGCGCACCAACGGTCATTCTAGCGTAGTGTCACTCCTAAGCGTAGTCGACTCCTTCCTTTCCTTCTCCTCATCATGATCACCGTCCTCCCCCCTCTTCCATCCTTCTCTCTCCTCCTCCTTCCTCATTTCGTATCCTGCGTTGTCATCATTCTCCTTCAGCTAGCCGATATTCCCCTCTCCTTCCGCACCCTCCTCCCTCCCCCCATCCCCCTCCCTCTGTCGATGGATCCGTTCTTCTCTCCCCTCTCCTCTCCCTGCTCCTCCTTCCCCCATTGGCCGCCTCCTCATCATACTCGTTGTTCGTTTCTTCCTCCTTCTCCTCCTCCTCATCATCGCCTTCCGCTTCATCCAGTCATGGCAAGAGGGTACCAGGGCTCGAAATTGCCCATGCTTTTCAGCCTGGTGTGTCTGTAACCGTGCCGGTCGTACGGGACCGCTTCGTGCCTCATCTCATTCATTATACGCGTGCGCGCCATGGCCCCGGAAGGCTTTCGCCATGAAGGTTTAACAATTCAGCAGCCCCGACCACGGGGCAAGAGTCGCCAAAGGGTACCCCCACTGGATAGTAACCTGTCCCGACAGGAAATTTGTTTCGCCGCATTCCAGGGCAGCGGCGGCGTCGACCGAGCAGCCGCTGCAGACAACGAATTCGTTCACACGCACCAAATAGTTCCAATCAGCACAAGCTCAGGGGCGAGGTGGTGAAACTGTGTGGGGGCAACCAGATCATCTACACCATGCTGCTCTACCCCCTGACGTGCAACACGGGTTCCAACCGTGATTCACCAGGGACCACGGCATCCGCCGACGCCCACCAGGGCAACGGCACCGCCCCATTCATCAGCCCGGACGCACAAATTTAAACGTCTTCCTCGCTTCCTGCCCCCAACAAGGCGGATAACGGCACATCGTACTCCGGCAGCATTTCTTTCACACTTTACAGGAAGGCATTCTTCAAGGCCTCCCAGATGGGGTCCGAGTAGACGGTCTCGGAGGATCGCGCCGCATCGCAGATGCATCGCCGATTTATCGGCGATGCGGCTCGATGTGTTGCCCGATGTCATCCACGCCGCTGGCGCCGATGCATCGCCGACGTCGCCGATGCATCGCCTGTGCATCGGCGATGTATCGCCGATATATCGCCGATGCGGCGCGATCCCCCCCACCCCATCCACGCGGACCCCATGTGGGAGGCCTGGAATTCGGATCCTGCCGACAGGATAAGTCCCTCGCGCCAGCTGCCTTGGGACCAACCAGCACGGATTACCCAGGGGAAGAAGTCCGAATCCTTGTCTTCCGTAGCACTGTTCTGGCTACCAACCTACGCCAGCATATAGACAGGGAGTCATTTACCAATTCGGCCGCGCAGAGGTCAAGTGCCTGCATAATTTGCTCCAAGTGGCGGCCTGGGGAACTGCCGCGCAGCCCCCCCATGCCGCGCCCTTTCCCTTGCCGCGCGATTTTTGCTCGAGCGATTCAAGTGAGCGCCGGTGCCCCAATCCGGCACGTCTTTCTCTAGCCCCGGCAACGACGATGCCTCGGCGCTGCGTCGTCTCCTGGCCAAGCTGACGCCACTGGAAGCCAGAGTGGAGTAGTTAATTGGAAGCGGGGGGGTCGGAGCCGTGCTCGGACATCGCCCGGCTGAAGGCAGAACGCAAGCAGGCTGTATGAAGAAGACCCACAGCTGCTCGACCTTCAGGCCACCTTAGCACAAGACGGGCGTCCACAGCCCATTCCGCGCCCTCCTCCCGAGGGCCCCGAAGAGAACTTGCTCGAGCAGTACGCACACAGCAGCGCGGTAGCAAAGGTGGGCACACGTGGCCACGGACGGAGCCTGCACGCACCAGGCTCGCCCGCCCCCTTGCCAGGTGTGGCCTCGGAGTACACGACTCCCCCCGCCGTAGGGTGCCTGGCTAAACGTGGCGGACAGAGCGTGGAGTTCCTCGGAGTCCACGGCGGCTTTGGCCACCGGCTGAGCCATTCAGTCCACGGGCGCGCGGCTTGGCCCAGCCCGCGCGACGCGCTGAGACCCTCGCCGCGCTGCAGCCGGCGGCTGCTGCCGAGTGGCCTGTCCACGTCTTCGTGGACAGGCCACGCAGTGCACGACGGACTTGGGGCCGTCGTCGCAGGAATGACATTGCAAGTCGCTCAGGCCGAACTCTGGCAAAAGATCTACTGCGTGCTGCAACACTGCAAGCCGAACTTGATGTTCAAGTTCCAGAGAGTCGTAAGTCATCTCGGCTTGCAAGGCGTAAATTCAGGCCGAGCCACGTCGCCTGCAGAGGCGTTTAACATCCACGCCGACGAACTCGCCACAGCCAGAGCACGTCTGCACACCATGCGGCGGCATGTCCTCGACGGAACCAAGTGGCAACGCAAATCCGCGGCGATTCTCCACAGCACGGCTGTCGCGACCTACGACCGTCGCAACCACGCGTTGCCCTTGCCAGACAGACGCGCAGGCTACTCCAGGGCCGAACTCAGCAGTACGAAGCCCAACCCGCACACCAGAGCGCAACTCCATCAGGAGGTCGCGATAGCGACGGCCACGACGCCGACGACAAAAGAACAAGATGGCGTCAGCAAAGGCATCCGGGCGCCGTGCTTCCAGGGGCGGAAGTCCACCAATATCAATACGCTTTCTAACAACCGCTGATCGGGGGTAACAATAGGAGAGGTAGGCGCATGTGTAATATATGGAACATAGAATGGTTGTCGCCGTGCTTGCAGACAGGTGAGTTCATTGCACGCCCAGGGCTCCTGGCGAATCAGCGCATGTGCTTACAACCTCGTTGTAAAGTCGAGTGGCGACGCCTCCTGTGCCGAACATACAACGTCAGTTGCGATGTCTGGCTGGCAGCGCAAAGCCCACGCCCTCATGTTGTTTCCGTCGTAGCGCGCCTCGCCCAGTCAGCTGTTGTTTTGGAGGGCGTAGAGGACCTCCTAACAGCTGCGACGCGTTATCTTGAATGATGCCACCGCGTGAAATGGGGCGCGCATACTGTCGTGCATTACCTTTTTTCGTGGCAATGTGATGCCGCGTCGACGCATTTCGTTGTTTGCGGCCCTTCTCCGATTCCCCCACGCAAAGAGTTTCTCCCGCCCCTCACCAACACTATATGTCACGCTCGTCTCGTTTTCGACTCCCGTCTTCTTCAGGGCAACGCGGCATGTCGTGGGCGTTGCGATCAGCGCGAGCGGCAAGTGCCCGATTGGAGAATGCGGGCGCGACTCGTCAAGCCCAGTTTGGCCAAAAAAATTGCGCCTCAACATTTCTATTCCCCCCCGCCCCAGGACAACAGCACGCCCCATCCCAACCCCGGGCTCAAGGGGGTGCGTTTGTCACCCCCCCAAGAGGACCCCAAAAAACATCAAGAGGGCTCCAAGGGGTCCCCAAGAAGACCCCAAAACAGCTTCAAAAGAGGCCCAACACCTAGTGTACAAGGTTGGATTCCCCAGGTCGGGACCCAGGCATTTAAGTCCTACGCCCAGGAAGGCCCCCAGATGGCCTCGAAAGGACCTTCTGGGAATTCTGATGTTGCACATCGCCATCATCAGCATCATCAGCATCATCATCATCATCACCACCACCATCACCATCACCATCACCATCACCATCATTATTGCCATCATCATCAGCATCATAATCACCATAATCACTCACCATCATCACCATCATCATCAACACCATCACCACCACCGCCATTATCATCATCAGCGTCATCATCATCACCCCGTCCTCGGCGTATCCGCCGGCGCCGCATGTGTGCCAAATTCGGACAACATTCTGCGGCGGATTCCCATGTGAAAACTGTGGTCGATTCTTCCCGGTGAGTTTTTGTTGGTCGCTCTGGCTCGAAACGTCTTCCTTGGTTTTGGTTCCAAGAAATTCACCCGATTTCCGTTTTAAATTCTTCGCCGAGGGGTGGGGGGCGCTCGTGCCACCTGGTGTTCATTGAGACCCCTCTTGGAGTTCTCCAGCGGCCCCAAATCCGCTGGCAAATTCACCGGCAGGTTTCGTTGGGGGCGCCTTGGGCCCCCCGAAAGGACCCTGGAAGATATCGTTTCCAATTCCGTCAGTCGGAGTTGGACCAGGGGCTCCCTGTGGCCCCTCTTAGACCCCCTCGGGACTCTTGGGATGGTGTTGGGTCATCCAGGGCCATCTTGGTTGGAGGCTTCGAGCGGCCCCCAACAGGGGACTCAAAGTGGTCGTTTCAAATTCCTCAGGGTTAACTTAGATCTGGGGCTTACTGGGACCCCCCGTGAAGCCCCCTTGCGGCCCTGAGAGGGCCATGATGGGGATCTCCGAAGCTTTCTTAGGGGTCCCAAGGGCCCCCAAGAGGACGCTGGAAGTTATCGTTTCCAACTCCCCCAGGCGGAGTTGGATCATTGGCTCACTGGAACCCCTCTCGGAACTGCTTGGGACTCCCATGAGGCCCCTCCGGGGCCCTCTGGAGCCATCTTGGGGCTTCGAGCGGCCCCGCATAGGGCACCAGATGTTCTTGTATCCAACTCCGTCGGGAGTCTTTGGAGCAGGGGAGAAATTTGGGCCCCTCTTGGAGGCCTCTTGGGGGCCCCGAGAGGTCCGCGAGATGGCACTGGAAGGCATGGCTTCCAGCTCCTCCGGGTGTTGGTCATTTCTCCCCTTCTCTCGCTCCTTTTTTGCCTCTTGCCTCCTGCTCGCCGCAAACTGTCTCCTCCCTTCTCCCCCCTCTTTCCGTGTTTCCCCTGCCCCCCGCTCCCAACTCGTTTCCATTCTTTCCTCTCCACGTGGCTCTACGCTCGTCTCTAAACAAGGGTTCGGTGCCCTCTGCCGCCTCCCTCCAGGGCGCGGGGACTGGCGATCGCCCCACCCAACAAGGAGTGGGCACCGGTGGAAGACCAAGGCAGCGAACTGATCGCAGGCACGCCGCAACGCCGCACCGCATGGTTGCCAGGCAACTGCCAGGTCGGGAGGGCGAAACGGTTCTCATCGCTATCATCACGGCGTGGCGCACCTCGATGTCCACCGCTAGCACACCAGTGCTAGCCTTTCCTCTCTCGGGTGTGTTTCGAAAACAACTGGCAACTGTTCTGCGGTTTTGCCCTGGGCCGCTGCGGGGGTTGCCCCAAGGCGGAGCCACGGTTCATTGAGGTACACAGGCGCGCATGCCAAAGCGCGTATGAAGTTGGCGCCTTACGCTCAAGTGTGCTGACTGGGCGTGCCACGCCCTGATCGCCACAGACCCGTTTCTCTCTCCAGCCGGGGTCCCCCACAGACCGCGCCAGGGGGGAAGGCCGCTTTCCCCCCGCCTTGTCTGTTTGGCGGCACTGCCCGCCATTGTGAGGTAGGTCTGAGAGTCTTCAGAAGGGGCCGCTCGCGGTTTGCTGGAGGTCGTTCGGTGAAGGCGGGGGGAACGTGGCAGCGTCTTGGAGCTTCTTGTGGTTTTGTGTTGGTGGGGGGCTGGCGACAACCCTCTAACTACACATTTGCCATTCCAGCAGTGAAGTATCTAGTCGCCGAGGTCAATCCAACGATCCCTTTGCAAGCCAATTCAAGAAATATCTGACCCTTCGGAAGGGCACCTGGCAACGCTCGCCGGGTTCACATGCCACCAGCATCAGCGTCAGCATGAGGAGCAGGAGCAGGAAGAATTGAAATTCGTTCCCCAGTGGTTATACGATGTGAACGCCCAGGTCGTTTGACAGCACCCATGGAGGCGGCATCTCTGAAGTTTCGACGGGGCGCCGCTATTTCGAGCGCTTCGAGTTACTCGAGCACTTCGAGCGCCCAGGGAAAGGATTTCCCATTGTATCTGCATGTCGCGCGGCCCCACTGGATTTCCCAAAGGCTCCAGGGAATGGCGGCCACAGCTCCTACGTTTCTCCTGGGAGTCGCGGCGGTTCTGCGCCCGGCAGCACCCATGGAGGCCAGGTCTCGTTTGGATCTGCGCGCCGCGCCGCCCCACCCGGCTCTCGCGGGTGGTGAGGGGGGGAGGCAGCTCTACGTTGTTTGGTAGAGCCCAGGAGTGCGAGAGGTCATGTTCGGACTTTCGCGGCGGGCCGCCATGCCCCCCGAGGCCCCTTTTCTACATATTTCGGGCACCGCCTGGGCTTCGGACATGTGTGTGCAACCGTGCATCTGAGGAGGAGGAGGAAAAGCACGACGACGACAAACAGGAGGCCGATGCAGGGTGCGGACGTGGCCACGTCCTCAACCCGGCGGCCCATGGATGTGAGGGGCGGTGTTGACAGCACCGCGAGAGACCGAGCTGAGGGACCAGCAGGAGGGATCATGCGAAGGGCGGCGGGGGGGAGGTGCATTACAGCGGGCACGGGGTTGGACACGTCGAGGTCGCGTGGAGCGGAGGAACCTTCTTGTCGTTCCTCGTGCCCGATGACATCGGCCACGGGGAGTTGATTTCGGTCCGACCGCCGTAGTTGGGGCGGGCGTTTCCTCCTACCCATCTTGCTGATTGTCCTCCTCTGCAGAAGCCTCCGTCCCGCATCCCTCCCCCAGTTTGCCCCTCCTGGTTCGCTACTCCCTCGTGTTACGCATCGTCCTCCTTCATGTTCCTCCATCGTTTTCTTCAACTAGATTGTCTCTTCCCCCGTGTTTCTGATCGTCATATTGCTTCCTCGCCCTTCTCCTTCCATCGTCTCTTCATTGTCCTCCGAATTCTCCTCCTCCTCCTCCGCGCGCTTTTGCGTTCATCACCCTCCTTCATCATTCATACCTCCAGGCTCCTCCATGACTCCCCCCGTTCCTTTCCAATATCCTCCCTCCTGCCTCCCTCCGTCCTCGCCCTCTGCTTATTCCGTTGTCCTCGCTTTCTCCAGCATACCATACACACCATGTAGGTACTTCGACGCCTTAGGGCCTTAGAATGTCATTGGGTGTCGTTACGCTGTACCTTTCCCCAGGGACTCTTTGTCACCCATCGTCACCTCTTTTCCGTAGCGTGCCTCTCCTCAATAATAATTGATGCGGCCGTTCGTGCCCAAGTTTATCGTGACGTGTTCTGCGGACGCACTTCCGTCCAACGGTACACCTACATCATCAGCATTGCCCTTCGCATCGTGCCCGCACGTCCCTCAAACCATGATGATTTGCCAACTGTGCATAAAACACGAAGTACTTGGCAAGCGATGTGTTGCCAGCCGGGCTGTAAAGGTTGATGAGTACGCTGGTACAGTTGCGGAAGAGGTTGGCAGTTACGAATCTAGGGGGTTAGGGGTAATATTACCCATCATTGCGGAAGCACGTGATTGTTCCGCCGATGGAACGAAGAAGATTGCATTTGGAATTACAGTGTCTGGAAGGAAGCCCAAACATTGCACCATGACCTCACCGGAAAGGGTTACACCAGCAAGCGTGAGTTCGATGGGCGTACCAGGTTAAGTGCGACCATCCCCACCCAATAAGCTAAGATGTCCTGGGGAAAAATAATGCAGGGCCTCTTTGTATAGCAGTGGAACCTTCAACTACGCGCGGTACCGACCCCATGAAGTGGGATAATCCTCTGGGCACGCATAGCTCGCGATGGGGAGGGACCCTCATTCGAAAAAAATGCACATCGGGGACGTACCGAGTGCCAGTTTTGATAAGAAGTAGTTGGATGAAAACTGATGCCGCGACAGTACAGAGTCCCACGTCGTTGCCGCCGAGGCGGACGATCTTTTCCGCATTCTATTTTGCGTTGCCAAGTTCGGGCGATGTGGTCCAGAACTTCGTGAACTTTGATATTGCAAGCGTTAGAGACTGCGGTTCCGGCGCCGTCCAGGAGGTTTGTTTACCAGACCAGTTGGGATATATCCTACCGTCGCATTATCATATGCTTCTGTCTCCTCTGCTCATCGCCGGGAACGCCCCTGTGCGCAAAGAGGGGTGATTCCCATGCAAAGGCGGCGGCGCGCACCATTGCGTTTCCTGAGGGCCACGAGGACAAGCGGGCCCGCTTGAAGAGCCCGTTGAACAGCCCACTAAATGAGATGGATGGCGTCACGGGCGAGCCTCAGGCCAGCGGAGCTGCTCGTCAACTTCACTTCGATGGCCCTGTCGCGCTGGGAAGTACGGTGAGCTTTCCAGCAGCATGGGAATGCAGGTGAGCGAAATAGACCAAATGTTGAACGACATGCACCAGAATTTCGAGAATCACATCGCCAGCATCAAACAGGACATTGCCTCCTTGCGAGAATATGTCGGTTCTTCTCCTGGGGTATCCGCTCAGACCACCCCCCGGCAGGGTCGAATCCAATTGTGTTCATTGGTTGTTTCAGCATGTTTGCAAATGGGGGCGTGGCCAGGGAATGCTTGCGAAATCCGTTTCGGAACGCATGCATCAACGAGCCATTTGAAAGGCATTTCAAATGACAGTCGTTCAAAAGTCAGTCGTTTGCAAAATATGCCACTCAAGCGAAGGCCGAGTCCATCGCACAGAAGGTCAAAGAGGTCAACCTGGATCACGATGGCGAGAAGGTGCAGGCCAAGTTGGACGTCCTTCTTCAGCGCGCGCGTGTTCCGGAGCGCCATGTACACCAGCACGGGCGCGACGTTCTTATTGACGGTGGCCGCGACAAGACAGCGTTGTGGGCCGATACCGATACTTATAAATTGCGGTGCGCAGGCGACGCGGTTCCCACGGATTCGATTTCTGAGGGCAGTCTTTCAATGTGTTTCGAAGATGGGTGGCGCGAGTATTTCCAGGGCGCGCCAGACTGGGATGCTTGTCGCTGCCTCCAGCAAGAAGCTCAGAGACAGCAAGACCCCCCCGAAAAGGCCTTGGCAAGGGCGAGACCAAAGGCAAAACGACGGGCCACTCCTCGAGCGCAGGCGCCAGGCACCAGGGAAAACTCCAGCCAGACATATGTTCCACCTTGGACCGGCAAACCGTCTCTAGTCATATTGGCCAAAAGCGCCCGCAGTGGATCCGATGAAAAATTTCAGGAGGTAGTCGCAGAATTAGGCGCTATGAAGTTGGCCATTGTTCTCTTCTCGGAAACGAGATCTCCAAGCCGCCCGCGTGAAATCGCCAGCGGGCACGCGCTCTACACGAGCGGCAAAGGCCATGATTCCGCGGGCGTCGGTGTCCTCGTCAACGCCAGACATGCCGGCAAGCACCTGTTCGCTGATGTCAGCGACCGGGCCGCGCACGCCCATTTGGAGTTGCGCAGAAGCGCGCAGAGCAATCGCACTCGCAGCGCGCCCCCCGCACGCCGGCTACCCCGCCACGGTCGCGGACGCAATCTACGAGCAGTTGTCCACCTACAGCTGGACATCGAGAATTTGCATCGTCGGATGCGATTTCCAGACAGAGCTGCATGAGCCAGTTCGGAGGACTGCGCCGCCCGACGCGGCCTCGACGGGAAAATTGCCACTCTGCAGCAGTTCCGGGGACTGGACGTTCCGAAGCAATATGGGGGGGCACCGTCTTATCGACTGCATCCTCGTCGATTCGCGCGCCACATGCATTGCGAGTGGCAGCGCAAATCTTTTTGACTTTGGGCCAGACCAGCGCGCCGCATCCGCTACCATAGAATTCAAAGTTGCCGCGCAATGGACCAGCAGGCAGCCGGGCTCTCGACGCACGCGGCATGGCGTGCCCGGCTGAGACATTCAGCGACGCGCAGAGTCAGTGGACTTTTTGGCCTCACGTCACACTGCCAACAATTTCGCCGATATAGAACACGCCATCCGCTCTTCAACAGAGGGGCACTTGCAAACGCAGACAGCGACGACCAAAAACCTTCGGAATTCGGACGTCGCCCTACAGGCGAAGAGGGGCCGGCACCACGAGAGGAGCCCTCTCAAGAGGAAAACCTTGCATCGGCGCTGGAAGCGGGCGCTGCGGAAAGAGGCTCGGGTTGGAAGTCTCGACGGGCTGCGAATATTTTGTTGGAGTTCCAAGGTTCGCCCCGCTCGGAAGTTCTGCGTCGCGTTCCGGTTGAGAGGGGGGCGCCCGCCGAGCGGCCAAGCGACGGGGCGCCTGCCCGAGCTCTCTCCGACGCGCGCTCGAGGGGGGCGCCAGCTGAAAGACCGCTGCCGCGAAGCGCTGTTCGCGACGCCCCGCCGCTCAGCGCGGCGGAACTCAGGGCGGCCTCGAAATAGCTGGCGCGCAACGAGGCCGCGGACTCCGAGGGGGTTGCGTTAGAACACATTTAGCACGCACCTCCGAGAGCACAGAAGCTCATTCTTGATCAGCAAAACAAATGTCTGAACGAAGTGGCCTTCCCGAAAGAGTGGCTGCATACTACTTTCACAATGCCCCCCGAGCTGGGGGGGGGCGTCAGGAGCTTCAGATTGGCACCCAATCGCAGTGCCAAGGGCATCATGCGAGAATATGGCCAAAATGCTTTCGTCGAGGATCCCGCCTGGGCTGGAAGCAGCACAGGGAAGAGATCAATGCGCGTGCCGGCCTGGCCGCGGCGCCGACGAGGCTCTGCGCTGCGCGGAGCACGTGGCGGACTTCGCCCACGCGTTCAAGCAGGGCCTTTGGATCGCGAGCCTGGACCTCAGCAAGGCGTTCGATGGAGTCTTCCACGAATCGGTCATCGAAGCCACATTGTAGCACGGCGCAGATGAGTCGCGCGCTTCCTTGTTGCAAGAGCAGCAGCGGGGACAGACGGGCCAAGTCGGCACGAGCGACGTCTTTCAGCCCTTCCGGGGCGTTCGCCAGGGCGGCGTCTCGAATCCGCGTTCATTCGACGCGGCAATAGAGATGGCGTTCAACGGGCGGAAGGACGGCCTCGCATCGCAGGGGCGGCATTTCCTTGGAAAGGCAGAACGCCTCGCGAACGTTCGATTTGCAGACGACGTTCTGCTTCGCGCCCGCTCGCCGGAGGACGCCAGAATCACGCCCTCGCTCTTAATTGAGAAGTTCCAGGCCGTAGGGCTGCAACTGAACGCTGCGCAGACCAAGATCTCACCCCCCAGAGACGTTGGCGCACCTCCTGGCACTTCCGCAATTTAATGGATTGCTGGCCGCTGCTTCCACGCGCCGTGCCCGGGTGAATCTCGCGCGCATTTGGTGGGGGCAGTACATTCGTCAAGGAACAGGGCAACCTTTGCCGTTGAGAGGAGGATATCAGCGGTATGGCACCAATTTCATGATATATCTATCTAATAGAAATTTATACGCCAGCACGTCGGCGCCAGTCGTCGCATCTAGCTCTAACTCCAAAGTCTCGCCAGTCCTGCAGCGCGGTTTGACGGGCCCGGCGCCGAAGCCGCAGCGGCGCGCCATGCTCCGGGGAGCGCGGACAAAAATGATCCGAAATATGGCTGGCTGGAGGAGAGCGGAAGGCGAGAGCTGGAAGGACACGATGCTAAGGACGAACATGCTGTCCGCGGCGCCTTCCCCAGACGCGCCGGAAAGGGCTTTCCCTTTGAAGTGGCGGCTGGCTCGCCGGCTCTTCTGCGGAGTTGAGATGTGGGCGCCCGTTCTTCGACATCCGCAATCTGCTCGCAGGGAAGCACGAGGCAGACCACCGCTGAAATGGACGGATGATTTCAAACAGTTCCACCTGCACATCGGGGCAGCTTCTCTGGAACAGGCGCTGCAGACGCCGGGCAGGGAGGAACAGCGCATGGAGTTTGCACGATGATGTTGCGATGCCCCCCCCCATCCCCCCCCCTTCTCGCCCGCCTTCACCCGCCCCCCTCCCTTCCGTTGAATTTTTCCGAAGTCCCACTTCCAAATTTTGTTCGCGTTCTGTATTCGTTGTCCCGCTGGCAATCGACTTACGCGCCCATGCCGTGCACGGGGCCGAGCAGCCGACAGGCATGCTCGCGAGGTTCGCTCGCCCGCTCGCAGCCGGGAACCTGTTCCGCCATCGCATCCCAGAGGATGAGGAGTGCGATTGTCGCCAGAAGCAATTCAGAGCGCCTCGAAGCACTCAGTGAGAACGTCGACGGCAAGAGGCGGCACTGGATCGAAGAGAAAGCTGCGCGGCCAGGATGCCCAGATGTCCCTTGCTGAATCGCGGAGCAGCGCGCGGCGCGTCGCATCCAATGGCGCCCGCTCGGCTGTCGAAGCTGCGAAGGCAACGCGCAACCCCTTCGCCAGATCTGCGCTCGCCCAGGCGCGCGATTGCAGGCGCAAGTTGAGCGGCGGTCAAAACGGCGCATAACAGGGCAGCACGCAGTCTGCGCGAACCACTGGGGCAAGGACAACGCCGCGCTGACGCGCTCGAGGAAAGGGCATCTTCGAAAGGACGGCAGCTCGGAGCGCACGCCGGCGAAAGGAAGGCCAAGATGTAAGGTGCAGCGAGAGAATGTGGAGAACGCTGAAGCGAATCCCTCTGCAGGTGGCCATCGGGCACGGCAAGTGGCGCAGGCAGCTCAGCAGCGGATCGCGAAGAAAGGGTGCGACGCATCTTCTCGTCAGAAGGCAGCTTGGCGAGCGCAGGAGTTGGAGCGCAACCGGGGTTAAAGTCCAACCGGCAATCGACGAGTAAAGGACGCCAGCGTGGCCGCCAGTCATGGCACGGGGAGAACAAGGGGGCGGCATGGGGCAGATCATTCCAGCTTTCGGCAACAAGCAGCTGAGAGTCAAGCAGAGCTGCGAGGCAAGGTCGGGAGTTAACATGACGGACGTGCGCGTCGAGGCTAGACATGGCCAATTGGCTACACCGCGGCGGCTTCAACGTGGCGAGCGCCCCGCGTCGATGCTTAGGCGATCTCTGGCCAGCGCTCAGAGACGCCGCTATCGCCGCCACGGGGGGCACAGCGTGGGGCGCGACCCGAGCGTTCCCCCATGCGTGCAACGTCGCTTTGTACTTCCAGGGTCAGGGCGCGCTCGCCCACGCGAACTACCGACGCTGGCACAGCGGCGTCGCCGCTGCAACCGACACCGACGGCCCCGTCCCAACCCCCGATCCTAGGAGTTCTCGCCGGCAGTTCCGTCGCCAAGTGGTGGCGTAGTTGTGGCGTTTGCCTTGGGCGCGCATTACCAATGCCCTCAGTCGGGTCAGCGCGCGCACGCCAGTTGCAGGCAGCAGTGGTGCGTACAAGATCAGTTCAGTCAGTTGCAAAAGAAGATGACGCGATTGCAAAGCTAGTTTTGGCCGTGCATGGTGACATCGACCACTAGATCTGCGAAAACCACCCTGCACGTGGTGCACGTCAAGGTTCCTGCGGAATCATAGGGGGGTTTACGAATGGTTTGGAGCTCTCGGGGATCCATTGAGGAGTCCTGCGGGGGTCGCGCGGGGGCCCTCAGTCCTCGGGGGTCCCCGGGGGAAATTACTCCGCGTAGAGATCCGACGCACATGCTTGATATTGCTGGGAGAATCGCTTCAGCTTCAACAGATCGCCCAGGCTCTTCTTGGTTTAGTGAGTTATCCTGAGCAAGGCATCAGGAGCAGGAATCCAGATTCTTGACGCTTCGCGTATCCCCACCAGCCCATCCTACACCAGGCAGTCGAACGAAGAGCGCCGATGATCGGCAGCTGTTCTCCTCCCCTCTTCCTCCTTCTCCTCCGCCTTTCCTCCTCCTCCTCTCCTCCTCCTCCCTCTCCTCCTCCTCCTCCTCCTCCTCCTCCTCCTCCTCCTCCTCCTCCTCCTCCTCCTCCTCCTCCTCCTCCTCCTCCTCCGCCTCTTCCTCCTCCCTGGTGGCGTATTGGAAGTGTCTTCGAACGTTTTGGTGGGCTCTTGGGCCTTGCGGGCGGGCGGGCGGCGCTCCGCCCGCCCGCGCGCAGAGCCCAAGAGGGGGTCCAAGACGTCTTTTGGAACAATCTTGGAGGAGATCGATCAACGAAGGGGGGTTCCCAAATTACAACCCCCCCTCTCAGGAGCCACGATCCTCGTGAGGGGTGTCGAATTTTAGCCTTCCCAGGAGTCGATCTTGGGCGCTCAAACGCGCCGCGGAACCCCCTTGTCCAGGTCAGTGGAGAGGGGGTAGGGGGAGGGGTAAACCCCTCCCCGCAGGGGAAGAAGGAGGGGTGGAAGAGGAAACGCTCTAAACCACCGACGCCCAGAGGGCTGGTGGGATTTGGCCCCCCCCGTCGTGCAGCGGGGGGCCCGCTGGCCACTATCGCAAAGTAGTCGCAGGAACCGTCTATCTCAATATGTTGTGATCGTGTGCTTGTAGATAAGTGCCCAGCCCCGCTTGCAACGCCTCGTGGGATTCACGGCAGGGCGTGCCCTATGCTGTCATTCGCCATTGCGTGTGCAGGGGGTCTCCTTCGGACGCCTTTCGGGGCCGTTCGGGGGCAGTACGAGAGGTGCTCTAAGTTGCGAGGCCGAGCCCGCCGCGTGCGCGTCGCTTGTAAGCGGGCGAGCCCGCCCGTCGTTCGTCTGGCGTTTTGCGGAAAGCTCCCACCAGCAGCCGCTCCCGGTGACGTTTGATCGAGCGCGGCGCTTGCTCAGGTCAGGGAGGAGGGGGAGGGGGAGGAAGACGAGGAGCATGAGGGAGGAGGGGCGAGGAAGAGGAGGAGGACTTTCCCTCCTCCCTCCTTATTCCCAGTTGTCTAATTGTTCTCCCCTTCCTCATCCGCTGTTTTCTCCCTTTCCCCTTGTATCTCCCCCACACACACACCCGTATTTCAGAGCCCGCCTTCATCGGTGCAGCAGGCGAGAGGCTGGCGCGTCGTGGAGAAGGCGCGAAGCGCCGTGCCAGCAGAGGCGAGTTCGTGAACACCACATCGAGTATCCCAGGAACTCCCCCGCAATGTCCCCCCCCGCTCCTCCGCACCCCCGTTCTTCCCACGTCCTCCCCCCTCCCCCTGGGAGGCGACGATGGGGCGAATTGGCCCGGGGGGTGCACCACATGTGTCCAGGGATGCCGATGCCCTTTGTTTTTCGGCGAGGCCTCCCCTTGCGAACGAGTGTGCTGCCCGCCCTTGGGCTGCTCGCCTTTGACGTCGCCTCCTCCTCCTCCTCCTCCTCCTCCTCCTCCTCCTCCTCCTCCTCTTCCTCCTCCTCCTCCTCCTCCTCCTCCTCCTCCTCCTCCTCCTCCTCCTCCTCCTCCTCCTCCCCGCCCCAGGTCCGGCTGGTGGAGGGCGCCGATGGTGGGGCAGCCTGGGCCCTCGAGCGGCTCCTTGCCCTCCCGCCCGCCGCAAATATCGCGCCCCCGCGGTCGCCTTGCCGCCGCGGTCGCGCCGCCGCCGGCCGAGCGGCGACGAACGCCGTCCTCGTTCGTCGTCGTCTGGTCGCGCTGCCCCGGCCCGAACGCCGACGACATCCGACGACGACGTCGGAATCTGAAGGGTACTGGACACTTGTGCTGACTTCCCGGCGCCGCCAGGCTGGACCCAGGAAAGGGTATGGGGACCGATGTTGGGCGGGTTTCGGTCGGACGACCGTCGAACGACACCGGCGAACGACGACGGACGACCATCGACGACGATCGACGGCGACGACGACGGCCGGGGGGGCGCGGCGCGGCAGCAGCGACATTGGAGTCGGCGACGACGGCGCCAACGAGGGGATGAGTTGGAGGAAGGGGCAGTTCGGGGGCAAACGGGAAGAGGAAAAGGAGGTGGGTGTGATGGAGGAAGAGGGATAGGAGAATCGGGATGAGTTGCAAGGAAGAGTAGGAGGAGGAGGAGGAGGAGGGGGAGGAGGACCAGAGAAACTGAAACAATACTTCATCGATACTGCGGCAGCACCCACACGTCCCAAGGTTTCTCCGCGCAAGCCTGTGGACATGACAATAATTTTGTTTCACAAAGCGGAGCACCCGCTTCAAAGATGGACGTCCCATGGCCCTGCCATTCAGGCGAAATCCCTGCTTTGAAAAGGAACCGCCCTGTAGACGTACAAAATGCTTAGATCTACATACATATAAATATATATGTATCTATATGTATATGTATATACATACATGTGTATATATATATATATATATATATCGAGAGAGAGAGAGAGAGACAGAACGCGTTTCGTGGACGCTTGCTTGAATGAAAATCTTGGACACGTCGGACCGCCCCCCCCCATTACGCACATGTCGTGCCTGGAGAGCCAGGGGAGGGGGCACGGGCCTCTCTAACTGGGGAGGGTCACACCACCCTGCAAGGTGGACGGGGGGGTTGAACCAGTGGAGGGGGGGGGCTCCTCTTAATAGCAGGATCAAATTCCAATATACTCTAACTACGGCTGTATCCAGCTGTAGTTGAATCTTACTCTGGGTAGGCTTTATTTCAATCACACCTTACTAGGGTCGGCCCAACCCCGATTAGAATCCGATGACGTTTCGACCCAGCTTGAATGGCGTCCTAGTAGGACCAGGTCCAATGCTAATGGAATTGGACCATAGCTGGACGCAGTTGTAATCTGCTTCCGTTCAGGCTCGATCCATCTTGACTAGCATCCTAGTACGGTTCGACCCAGAGTTTGCTGAATCCTACGAGGGCTTGGTCTAGCTCGACTAGAATCCCATTAGGGCTCGATCCGATTGTGATAGCATCTTGTAGTTAATTGAATCCTACAGACTCGGAAGTATTCCTCCGAACGCCACACCAAGGCACCCGAATCCACGAATGAAGACTCCCGGTCCCGACCCCAGCCGCATCAGCAGGCGCGCGGTCCAAATTCTCGGCCCCATACAATTCTGAATGGGTTTCCGCCTGCGGGATCCAATCCTTTATTCTTTTGCACAGCTGTGTTCTAGAGCTCGGACCTCCTTATTTTCGTTCGTCGTCGTGGTTCGTTCGTTCGTCGTTCGTCTTCCCCCCCGGCCACAGAAGGAAACTCCTGGAGGAAGGAGGCGAAAGCCTCCTGTCCCTCGCAGCTCCTTGGTGCCAGAGCCAGGCCACGCGTGCCACTTGTTTGGAGTTTCATTAAGGAGAGCGAGTGGAGCCTGATGCGGGCGATTCTGTTTGGGACGTCCTCATAACCTGCACGGTCTGGCCCCTGGCTTGCCCGCGCGCCCCGCCCGAGACATCTTCAACATGTGCATGATGTTGGCCCCTGGTTTGGCGCGGTGTGGGCCCGGTTTCGCTTGAGACGTCCTCTACATTTGCCGTGGTTTGGTTTGGGCCCAGTTTCCAGGCGGCATCGTGACTTGCCTGGTGTGGTACGAGCGAAGCTAACATTTTGCGAAAGAGCGCACGGTTGAGTAACATCCGTTATGGGCGCCATGTGGTCTCAACACATTTGGGAATGTGTCATGTTTTTCTCGACACCAAACGGATCATTAACAGACGTCGTGGTGCGGATTGCGACACGTTTGCGCTACAAGCAGGCGGGCGGCATGGGTGTGTACATCCCCAGCACGATATGAGTCGAGATGGGCATGTGTGGCGGCGTTGGGGGAGATCTCTCCGAACGCCACACCAAGGCCCAGCAGCACAAGAAAAACAAATGAGCTTGGCGAAGGACCCAACCATATGCAGTTGTGAACACCGCAGTTGTAGGTATCGTCTTCGGTGGAGCCCCCTGATAGGGCCACGAATCGCTGTGCCGGGCGGGGGAGACGCATGCGGACTGCGCCATTGGGATTTTCTGTAGAATTCTCCATGTATTGGGCGGGGGAGACGCATGCAGGCTGCGCCACTGGGACCTTTGGTGGAGCTCGTTATGGGGCCACGAAGCAACGTATTCGGAGGGCGAGACGCATGCGGGCTGCGCATCTGGGACCGTCGGTGGAGCTCCCTATGGGGCCACGAAACGCTATACTGGGTGGGGGAGACGCATGCGTGCTGCGCTATTGGGATCTTTGGTGGAGCCCTTTATGGGGCCACGAAGCGCTGTGCTGGGTGGAAACGCATGCGGGCTGCGCCACTGGGGCCTTTGGTGGAGCTCAGCATGGGGCCACGCAGCGCTGTGCTGGGTGTCGAGACGCATGCGGGCTGCGCCACTGGGACGTTCGTTGGGGGCCACGAAGCGCTGTGCTGAGTGTGGAGACGCATGCGGGCTGCGCCACTGGGACCTTGGATGGAGCTCCCTATGGGGCCACGAAGCAATGTACTGGGTGGGGCAGTCGCACGCGGGCTGCGCCACTTGGGCCTTCGGTGGAGCTCCCTGTGGGGCCGCGAAGCGCTGTACTAGGTGGGGGGAGACGCATGCGGGCTGCGCCATTGGGGCCTTCGGTGGAGGCCACGAAGCGCTGTTCTCGGAGGGTGGGGGGACGCATGCGGGCTGCGCCATTGGGAACTTCAATGGAGCGTCTTATATGGCCACAAAGCGTTGCACTGGGTGTAGGACCGCATGTGCGCGGCGCCACTTGGACCTTCGGTGGAGCTCCCTGAGGGCCACGAAACATTGTTGTGGGCGCGGGAGGCGCATGCGGACTGCGCCACGGGGACCTTCGGTGAAGCTCCCTATGGGGCCACGAGGTAATGTCCTGGGCGGGGGGGACGCATGCTACGAAACGCTGTACTGGGTGTGGGAGACGCATGCGGGCTGCGCCACTGGGGCCTTCGGTGGAGCTCCCTGTGATGCCACGAAACGTTGTACTGCGTGTGGGAGACGCATGCGGGCTGCGCCATTGGGACCTTCGGTGGAGCTCCCTAAGGGGCCACGAAGAAGCGTTGTGCTGGGTGTGGGAGACGCATGCGGGCTGCGCCAGCGGGGCCTTCGGTGGAACTCCCCATGGGGCCACGAAGCGTTGTACTGGGTGGGGGGACGCATGTGGGCTGCGCCACAGGGAGCCACGAAACGCTCTGTTGGGTGTGGGAGACGCATGCGGGCTGCGCCATTGGGATGTTCGGTGGAGCCCTTTATGGGGCCACGAAACGCTGCGCTGGGTGTGGGGGACGCATGCGGGCTGCGCCACTGGTATTCTCGGTGGAGCTCCTTGAGGGCCGCGAAACGCAGTACTGGATGTGGGAGACGCATGCGGGCTACGCCACAGGCCTTCGGTGGAGCTCCCTACGGGTCCACGAAACGCTGTGCTGGGTGTGGGAGACGCATGCGGGCTGCGCCACTGGGCCTTCGGTGGAGCCCCCTATTAGGCCACGAAACGATGTACTGGGTGGAGGAGACGCATGCGGGCTGCGCCAGTGGGCCTGTGATGGAGCTTTTGGGGCCACGAAACGTTGCACTGGGTGTGAGAGACGCACGCGGACTGTGGAGGAGGGAGGAGGGGGAGGAGGAAGGAAAGAAGAAGGAGGAAGAAACGCGGGGTGATGTATCTTCAAAACGAGGACCCAACACAACAGGATGGTCGGGAATACAGAATTCCGCTCCCAACCCCGGCCGCATCAGCGGGCGCGCGGTCCAGTCGCCCGCCTCCATAGAATTCTAAACGGGATTCCGCTTGCGGGAAGGAAGGCCCTGGGGCGAATTTGTCCTTTGATTGGAATGTTAGGAGATTAGATGGAGCCTGGCTTGGGCGATTCAGTTTGGGACGTCCTCATAGTCTGCCTGATTTGGTCCCTGGTTCTACTTGGTTTGGCCGCGCGCCCCGCCTGAAACGTCTTCAAAATCTGCCTTTGTTGGCCCCTGGTGTGGCGCGGTGTGGGCTCAGCATCCCCTCAACATTTGCCTGTTTTGGTATGGTTTTGGCCCTGTTTCGTTTGAGACTCCTCAATATGTACTTGGTTTGGCTTGGTTTGTGCCCAGTTTCGCTTGAAACGGCCTCACAACTTGCCTGATTTGGCTTGGACGAAGCGAAGACCCCGCGAAGGTACGAACCGTTGAGTAACATTTTTTATGGGCACCATGCGGTTTCAGAACATTTGGTAATGTGTCACGTTTTCCTCGACACCGAACGGATCATTAGCAGACGTCGTGATGCGAATTGCGACACGGTTGCGCTACAAACAGGCGGGCGGCACGGGTGTGGACATCCCCATCACCTTGTGAATCGGCATGGGCATGTGTGGTTGCGTTAGGAGAAAACTTTTCTGAGGCTGTCATAGGGGTCGATCCAACCTTAATTGATAGACCCCGGTCCAGGTTTAGCAGCATCGTCGTTGTCGTCGTCGTCGTCCTCAATGCTGCCCGACGGCGCCAGCGCCGGTGCAAGGGTGGGGTTCGGTTCGGCCCCCCCCCCGTTGATGGCACCCCCCCGTTCGAACCCCGCCCCTTTCCCAGCGTCTACAGAACACGCTTTTTAATATGTAATTATATATTTATATATAGAGAGAGTTGTTTTTGCCCATCCCGCCAACGCGGCTGGGTTGTAGGTCAGAGTTCTCAGGAATGTGTTTGGGGATTTTCTTCGGGGCGCTCTCGCGGGCCTCTTAGGGACAGTTTGTGGGCCTCTTGGGAGTCTCTTGGGGGCCTCCTGGGAGCCTCTTGGAGTCTCCATTGGGGGCCGCCTGGGGGGCCTCTTGGGGCTGACGGATCGAAACGTCCGTTCGGGTCCCCAGTCAGGGCCCCCTCTTGGGGCCGTCTTGGCGGCCTCTTGCCCGCCCGCCGTGCTTCCATGTTCAACACAACATCCAGTCCTCAACAGCATCCATTACCAACACAGCACCCAGTACTCAACAGCCTCCGTCTCCATCACAACGTTCAGTATTCAACAGCATCTGCTGCGAAAGAGAGAATTCTTATGAACTTATCCCGATCCGCCCGCCCGCCGCCGGCCCGCCCCCCAGCAGCTCGCCGCCCGCCCGCCGCGATTCCGTGCTCAACGCAACCCCCAATTTTCAACAGCATCAGTCGCCAAGTACTTCACAGCCTCCATCTCCAACACTACAGCCAGCATATTCAGCAGCACCCCTCTGCAAGAGAGAATCCTTGGGAGTTCAGTCAGAATCCCGATCCGCCCGCCCGCCGCCAGCCCTCCGCCCGCCGCGCGCCCGCCGTGCTCATGGGCTCAACAAACACCTTGCACTCAGTGCTTGGAGGGAGGGAGGGAGGGAGGAGGGAGGAGGGAGGAGGGGGAGGAGAAAAGGAGGAGGAGGAGGAGGAGGAGGAGGGGGAGGCATCCCGCCCCCGATGTGAAAGAGTATGAGTTGTACTACAATGCCGATCCGCCCGCCCGCCCGCCCGCCCGCCCGCCGTGCTTCCATGTTCAACACAACACCCAGTACTCAACAGCATCCTGTCTCCAACACGACACCCAGTACTCAACAGCCTTCGTCTCCAGCACAACATTCCATATTCGACAGCACCCCGCTGCAAGAGAGGGCCCTTAGCATTTCCGTTGAAATCCCGATCCGCCCCGCCCGCCCGCCGCCCGCCGTCCGCCGCCCGGTCGCCGCGTCCCCGTCTTCACCACAACGCCCAGCACTCGAGAGCATCCTGCTTCCAGCGCAACACCCAGTATTCAACAGCATCCCAGTATTCACTTGGAGTTCTATTTAAATCCCTGTCCGCCTGCCCGCCCCCGGCCCGTCGCCCGCCGCCCGCCGCCCGTCCGCCGCGCTTCCATCTCCAACACAACACCCAATACTCAACAGCAGCCTGTCTCCAGCACGACACCCAATACTCAACAGCCTTCGCCCCCAACACAACACACAGTATTCAGCATCATCCCGCTGCAAGAGAGAGTCTTGAGGGACTTTTACTAAAATCCAGATCTGCCCGCCCGCTACTGGCCCGCCCCCCAGACGCCCGCCGCTCGTCCGCCGCGATTCCGCGTTCAACACGACACCCAGTACTCAACACCATACGTCTCCAACATAGTACCCAGTATTCGGCAGCTTCCGTCTCCATCACAACGTTCAGTATTCAACAGCGCCCCATTGCTAGAGAGAAGCCTGAGAAGTTGTATGGAAATCCCGATGTTCGCCCGCCGCCCGCCAACACCAGCCGCCCGCGCACCGTGTTTCCGTGTTCAACAACACTCAGTATTCAACAGTCTTCGTCTCCAACACAACGCCCAGTACGCAACAGTTTCCGTCTCCAACACAACAGCGAGTAGTCGACTGCATCCCTCTGCAAAGAGAGAATCCTCAGGAGTTCGGTTAAAATCCCGATCCGCCGCCCACAGCCAGCCCGCCGCCCGCCGCCCGCCCGCCGTGCCTCCGCGTTCTTCAACAGAATGCTTTGTATTCATTGCTTCCGCGCTCAACACAACACCAAGTACTCAACAGCATATTGTCCATGCTTGCGAGTGCGAGGATGAAGCTCAGCGTTGAAGCGCTTGCCCCAAAGGATAATCGAAAGGCCGGAGGGCAAAGGATGCGTTCCGAGTACCACTAGAGTTTCGTTTCATAATGGTTGTTCTGTTGTGAGGTAGTTTTTGAGCTAAGCCTTGGAACCCAGGAGGAGTGCAGCAACGCTCCCCCCAGAACGTAATGAGGGTATATAAGTATGCCTGTGTGCGTTCATGCATGATAGTTGATCTGTATGTATCGCAGCCACGTTTGGCTCTAGCGCCCCGAGTTCAATCATGATCAGATAGACCCCTGCGGAGAACAACCCGAACAATTCCCGAAACACGTTCGAAAAACCACAGGACAAAAAAAAACGAAAGCAAAAACTCAGGGGGGGGGTCCCAAGTGGAGGGTTGTTCTGATGTTCTGTTGTGTTCCTGTTGTTTGGAAAGGAGGAGTGTTGCAGGTCCCCCTTGGAAATACACCCGAAAGCACCCGAAAGACCTCCGAGTTGGGGGGGGAGTCGTGGTGTCCCCCCCAGAGCCTAGGGTGGCTGGAAAACCCGATGAAAAAAACACATCAAACCCCTAAAATTGGGGGGTAGGTGGTCAATTTTTTGGGGGGGTACATTGATCGGGTTTTCAGAAATCAGAGTCAGGGGGCGGAACGGCCATTCATTGTCATTGGGTGCGTGGCTGAATAAGGAATTCGTGGTGAGAATTCTGCTTGTTGCGCTGTTATTGTTATTGCTGCTGTTGTTGTTGCTGCTGTTGTTGTTGTTTGTTGTCGTCGTCCCACCCGCGACCCACCCGCGACCCACCCGCGACCCACCCCGCGACCCATCCGCGACCCATCCGCGACCTACCCGCGACCCACCCGCGACCCACCCGCGACCCACCCCGCGACCCATCCGCGACCCATCCGCGACCCACCCGCGACCCACCCGCGACCCACCCCGTGACCCACCCGCGACCCACCCCCAAGGGAGGAAAAACCACCCGGACCCGACAATTGACGTTTATTAAACGGCCTTGCGCGTTGACTAAACAGCCTTGCCTTGTTCGATTCATTCCTTGTGTGCGTTTACTAAACGGCTCCGCTTGTAGGGGTGATTATTATGGGGTGGATGTTCTGCCTTCTACACCCGCGACCCACATTTGCGACCCACCCGCGACCTACCCACATTGGTTTAACGAAAAAATCGGCGCTTGGTGCGGGCTCGTTGTATAATTTGTGAAACTTTGTCGCCTGCGGCGGGCTTCTCCAGAGTCTCGCAAACTGCCGAAGTCCCCACGGCCCCCTCACTCTTATCCGCATCTGCGGGGTGCTAGGTACTATTACTTTTAGTTGTGGGGCCCCAGAGCTCTCCGAAAAACTTTGGAATAACCCCCGAGTTGGAGGGTTTTTTGGTGGCTCCCCCCCAGAGCATAGAGTGGCCGGAGAAATCTTTGAAAACACAAAAAAATTGGCAGGTTTTTCTACAGTTTCCCCCATTGGAGCTTGGGGTGCTCGGAGAAACCTTCCAAAAACTTTAGAACAAAAAACCGTATTGTTGTTTGTTGCAGTTATTGTTCTTTTGTGTGTTACACGTTTTTTTTTCCCAGAAGTAATATGTGTTTCAATTATGAGCCCCCGGGAACCTTCAAAACCAATGAGGAAAACGAATTGCGGGTTTTTCACAGGTTTCTTTCCCAGAGTTTGGGGTTGCTTGAGAACCGTTTTTGAAATAGAAGGAAAACCACAGAGTTAGAAGGGTGACCGGATAACCCCCGAAATAAACAGACAAACCACCGAGTTGGGAAGTTGTTTATGTTCTTTGTTCTGCGGTGTTTGCAGTTTTTGCAAAAGTAACATTGTTTCAAATTGTGGGGTCGTTGAACCCCTCTCCGACAAACAAAAAAACTCAAGGAAAACCGAGTTCGAGTTGTTTGTATGGTTTCTCCACCTGGAGCTTGGGGTGGCCAGCGAAACCCTGAACAAAAAACGAGTTGCGGAGGCTGTCGGTGGTTACTCGTAGATTGTTGTGGGGGTTGGTCAGGAATAACTTTGCTTGTAACTGTGGGGCGCCAGAACCCTCTAAAGAAAAAACAGAGCTTGGGGGGCTGGAGAACCCCCGACAAAAACTCAGACGGGTTTTCGATATGTGTTCAGAGAGAGGGGAGGGGAGGGGCTCATAGATACTCGTGTTGTTGTAAAACATGATGGCCAGAGAACTCCCGAACAAAAACAGAGGTGGAGTTTGTTTTGCGTGTGTCTGTGTGTGTTTTTTTGTTGTTTCTGAAGGGATGTGTAGATATGGCATTATTTGTATGGTATGGGGCCCCGAAGCCTTCCGCAAAACTTCGGACCTGGAGGGTTTTTTGTGTTGTGTTGTTTCTTGAACAATGCAGAGAGAACCAAACAAAAACTAGTGAGGTGGGGTCTGGCGTTTATATGTTGTTGATGTATGTTTGGGAATTAATTCATTGCGGCCCAGAGACCTTCCAAAAACCTCCCCAGCTCACCCCCCCCCAGAGAAAAATAAGAGTTGGCTTATTTTCCAACGTTTTCAGTGGGTTCCTTGGGATGCAACTCCTGGGAGGTCAAATTCTGATTTTGCACTGGTCCGAAGTCCGGCTTAATTCCGCTTAATCCCGTTTAATCCCGCTTACTCCCGCTTGATCTGGCTTAATCCTGCTTAGTCCGAGGCCCACTCCAGCGTAACAGCTCCCAAATGGGGCTCAGTCCTCTTTGATCTTCCGACGAAAACCTCCCTCCTAAGATTCCGGGGAGGGGGGCCCGGGAGGGGTCCCAGGGAACTCCCCCATCAGGCCTCCCCCGCGGCAGGTCGGAGCCAGTTCGCGGCCCCTACGCGGCGGCGCTCGGCCTGCTGGAGCGGCGCGGCTTGCTGAGGCGCGGGCGGCCCGCGGATGCGTGCCGTCCCAGCGCGGCTCGGCGGCGTGCGCACCGGCGCTTCTCGGGGGGGCAGCTGGCGGTCGGGAGCGTCCAAGGAGGGGGGGGATGACTAGGGTCAAGTAGGGGGGATACTCAAAAAGATTCCAAAAATAGTCTGGGGACTAGTTTTGGACTATTTTTGGGCATTTTTGGCACATGTTTGGGGTACTTTGAATTTTTCGCCCGAAATCCCCCTGTCGGGGGACATGCCCGACCTAAGACTAGGGACTAGGGCTTGGGGGTGGTGGATTATCATGGCGGGGACCAGGGTATCTCCACAGATCTTGCGGCGCCTCTTCTTTCCGTGCGGCCCCTGGCCCCCTCCTGAGCCGCGCACACGCCTCGGGCCATGATTTGCGAACCCCCTGTTTGGATGCCCCCGCGGGGGGGGGGGATGGGCCAAGAGGGGGGACGCATCGATCCCCAATCGCCCACTGATTGCCGACCGGAGCCAGACAGCCCATCCCGCCCAGGAACGCGCGGATTCGCATTCGGGGGCCGATGGCCGATCGATCGGCGATGCATCGCCACTTCCAGGTCGATGTTTCCCCCACTGAGCCAGGCCCCCTTACCCCGATGGGGGTCGGAGTACATGGGGTCGGGGGATCGCGCCGCATCGCCGATGCATCGGCGATGCGGCTCGATGCGGAGCCTGATTTTCTTCACGCTGGCGTCGACGATACACCGCCGACATTGCCGATGCATCGGCGATGCGGTGCGATCCTCCGACCCCATCTACTCGGACCCCATGTAGGAGGCCTCTATTACCGTGGCCCCTGAGCTTCGAAAACATGCCATTCTTCGCAAGGTTCGGCCTCTGGAGGCCCGTGCCAAGGCCAGGGGCCATCAGGAATCGAGCCGGGTTGATACATTTGCCGGCGCGAGCCCCCAGAGGGGTCCCAGGACAGATTCTACAAGTTTTCTCGTTTTCAGCCCTTCCCTCCAACCTCCTCCCTTCCCTCTACCTCCTTCCTCCTCCTCCTTCCTCCCCTCATCTTCCTTTCGTCATCCGTCCTCCCTTCCCTCCAACCTCTTCCCTCCTGCTTCCCCGCAAGCGCGGAGTGGCGAGGAAGGGGGGGCAGGTCGGACGATGGAGGGAGCGGGAGGGGGAAAGCGCAACAGGAGGACAGATTTTGAGGGGATTCTGCCCGGCGTGTCAAGCGGGAGGGGTGGGGGGGAGCGCGGGGCGTGCGGCCCTTCCAGAAGGCAGGAGGCATCTCAAGAGGGCTCGGAGGCCCCCAAAAAGGCTCCCTGGAAGGCGGGGGCCGCCCCCCCCGGCGCCACCCCCAGCTGGCGCGACGTGCCGCTAAGCGGCGGCAATGCTTTCAGCACACGGGCACGTCGTGGGCAGACCGCGAGGCGCAGCGTTCCGCCCCAATCCTGTCGCCCCCCACTCAGGAGGGGAAAAAACACACAGACACAATTAGTCGTCGACTCCCAGGAAAATAGAGGAAGTGGGGGGGAAGACAACGACCTGGAAAATAAAGGAAAATATTGGGAATCCTGTTATTTGTGTGTGAATTTATGTGTGTGTCCCTGGGCCCCTTTACCCACCCCACGCGCAGGGCCCTCGCGGGTCGGTCTGGGTCGAGAAGTCCCGCGCAGAGACGGGGTCGGGAGCCCGAGTCGCGGCCCATCACGGCGTTGGTCGAGGTGTTCGTGGACGGCCTTCGGGGACCCGTGACCAGGATGACCGAGCGCCCTGGAGAATGAAGCATAAAGCATCCCCCCCTTTTGGACCTGAGAGTTGACTATCCCTGGCCAAGACAGAGTTGGTCGGGGGAAAGGGGCGGCGAGGCCGAATTTCATTGCCGCCGGAGAGAGTACGAATCGAAGAGGGACAGGGCGAGCTCTAGATCTCTGACGAGAAACGCCGAGGTGTTGGGGACCGAGAGTCTCGGCCGTAACTTTTGTAAGTAGAGACTCGCATCCGTACATGCGAGTTCCGAGGCCCCCAGACGAAAACATCCCGTCCCTACCTCGGTACATACGAGTTGCCGGGACAAGAACTCTATTATCCCTGCCGAACCTGGAATTTTGTTTTTCCCGGGTGTGATTATCTGGCGTCTTCGGTTACGTCGTTTGAGAGCGCGCTCTGGAACGGCCGCCTCGCCCGATGCGTCCTCCAGAACCGCCAGATCTCGGAGATCCCCGATCTGCCCGGGTCCGATTTTGCCCCGGTCTTGGTTTCGTGCTTGATCTTGCCCGACGGCGCAGATCGCCCGAGAAGTCCAGAGCCCACGCCGTCGGAGAGAGAGCGCGTCGCGGAGCCGGGGGCCGCGGGGCCATCAGCGCGGCCGACTGGTGCCCGGCTCTCATCGTGGGGGCACAGACCGTGCCGTGACCACAGCATGGGGCGAGTCGGCGGGGGTTCGGGGTGACCGCACGGTCTGGGGACCTCGGCCGCTCTCAGAGGATGCCTCGAGCGGCCGGGGCCCTCCGGGTCTCAAAACTGTTCGGTGACGGACCGTGCCGTGAGGTCGCTCGGGATTTCGAGGTCACCCCGCAGCGGTCTGGGACCCCCGATTCTAGTCCGTGGGTCGCGCGGGTGTCGATTGCTTCGTAGCAGTAGCGCGAGAGAAGCTCGTGGGACCGTAGGGAGCCCCATAAGGGGGGCGGGGCGCGGCCTGGCCCCCTTGACCCCTGGAGGGGTCGACCTCCTCCTTGGCGGACCAGCCTGAGACATATCCCGATCTGTAAGGTTTGCATCATCTTCTCGCGGTGCCGATCGTAAGGATTGTCTGATTGTTGTGCAGGGCGCACCCCTAAGATTGTTATCGCTCTGGGCTTGTCAATCTCAGGGAGAGAGATTCGTTGGAGGCCAGTTTCAGACATCCTCCTCCGTCGAGCCCCCTCCCCCACCCCTCGCAGGCGATGGGAGCTTTTGTTGTGCAAAATGCAATGCAGACGGCCGCGCTGTTCATGACGCATCCAATCACCAGCCCAGCTGTTCCAAGCAGCGTGGCCTCATGGTTTCCATGTTCAGGCCAGGGACGCGTCTCTGGAGCGGCTCCTACCCGCATACATCCCATTCATCTTTGATTAGCTGGCCGACCTTACGGTCCGCGTGGCCGCCGCCGCTTCCCGCAGGCACCTCGTTCCCGACGGCGACGGCGTGCTGCAGGTGAACGCGCCATTCTGCGGGCGGTTCCAGGAGAGCGGCGGCGGACGCCCCTTGGGATGGAGTTGAGGATGGGGAGGGAGGTCAAGATGAGGACGAGGATGAGGATTGCATAAGAATGAGGAGGAGGAGGGAGTAATGATGAGCAGCGGCGGTGGACGCCCCTGAGGATGCAGTCGAGGAGGAGAGGGGTCAAGCGCAGCCCTCCCCTCCCGAAGTGGTGGTCCGAGCGCTGCGGCCTGCAAGGCGGTCTCTACAGGTGAGGGCCGCACATGGGCGAGTTGACCGTCGTGGCCGACGTCGCTCTCCACCCCGCCCTCAGCCACGCGCCAGGGGAAGGGTCAGACGAATGTTTGGCCCTGTACCAGGGCAGTTCTGCGGTGAGCAGGTCCAGGTCGACGCTCTAGCGCTCAGCCTCCAGAGGCGCACACCGTAGTGATGTGCAGCAGGTACGAAGGCGTGTGCCAGCGTTCTCGTGCAAGCACTGGTCAGGGGGGTGCGACGGTGCAGGTGCAGTTGCAGCTACCCGTGCAGCGGGTCAGTCCAGGAGGAAGGCAGGGAGAAGCCAAAGAGGCCTAGAGGAGGAGGGAAAGATGGAAGATCGAAGAGGAGGGAAGGGTCATGAATTCAAGTTCATCGCCCTCATTTGGGCCTCCCGGGACGCTCTCGCCGCCACGCTGGCACCCCCTTCAAGGTTGCATCCAGAACGCACCCCAAGATGGTCCTGCCACCACCACCACCACCACCACAGAGCCAAGGATTTGGAAGGACGCGTGGGCAGAGATCGCGCGATTGGTAACCCTTCGGGAGGAGAAACGGAAGACGGAGCGCCTCACGAGTGTAAAGCAGAGAATGGCGCCGGATTGTGAAGCAGAACGTGGAGACCCGATTGCATGTATTCCGTCGTTTGGTTCATTCCGCTGGCTCATCTTGCATCATCATTGGCACGACAGTTGAGAAGAGGGATGGGTGGCAGTCGTTTCCATGAGTCGTCGGCTGAACCTCGGTTGGGGTAAAACAGCAGCGGGTAGTTGCAAGGCAACGTTCAGTGGAACATGCCTTTCCAGAGTTCTGTCAATGTATCCCGCCACCGTGCATATGTCGTGGGTCAGAGGCGTGTTTGATGCATCTTGGGTTCTCTTGGAATACCTCTTGGAGGCCTCTTGGGGGGCCTCTTGGTTTTAAGTGTTCTGCAAAACGCTGATGGCGTTTCGCCATTGAAGACCGTCTTATGTTTCCCGTTCTGGACGCCGTTTCTGTTCCGTTTTCAAGTTCAGGATCGGGCCGTGGCCCATCTGTCCGTGTTCTTTATGTGTTCAAGTGCGCTTGCAGTCTCACAGTGTTGCTTGTCTGATACCCGCTTTCAGAGGCGCCGTTTGTACGACGTGCTGATCGAATCAAGATCGAAACATGAAGGACTTGACAAACGAAAACACAACAAGCACAACAACACATATTAGGTGTCTATATATATATACATACATACATACATGCATACATACATACGTACACACATACATACATACATACATACATACATTCGTATATGTTCTACCCAAAAAGGGAGGGAGAATTTAGACAATAAGAAGGAACACCATTAGAATACGAAAAACAAGAAGAAACACAAACAAATAAAGTACAAAAACTAAAACAGCATTTCCATAATAAGCAACAAAACTGAGCTCGTGCAGAAGACCTCGTTGGGCCGTCTTTGGGGCTTCTGGGGGTGGCCTGCTGGCAGTCTTGGAGGCCGTCTTCTGGGCGATGATTTGAATCTGTCAAAATTTGCAGGGCGCAAATGATGTGTGCGTCTCGGGGTGGTCTGCTTCGAGGCTATATTGGAACACCTTTGGGCCGTCTCTGGGTCGTCGGAGCTCTCTTGGGACGCTCCGGGCGTTGAAGTGGGGTTCGGGAAGGCCGCGCCCAGTAGCTCCATCATCTGGGCCCGACTTTTCCGGGAGTTGGCTGGCGTATTTCTTCTTTGTGCCGGGAGAACCAGCCGCGTGCAGTTGATAGTGTACCCCGACTCTTTTTTCTATTCCCACGTCGCCCGCGGGAGCGACGACGGCGGTGGCTCCGAGAAGGAGGAGGAGGAGGGGGAGATGGAGAAGGAGGAAGAGGAGGAGGAGGCTCTGTGGCCGAGGGCGGGTTCTAAGACCTCACGTGGTCGCACACCCGTTGCCGAGCCAACCCTTCGCGCTGCCCGTGAGGCCGCTACAACTTTGTTTTGCGAGGCCCACTCCTCATTGCACACCACGAAAAATATTCGAGAGCCCGCATGGCATCGCTGGCAACGATTACGGCGCACTCAAGCGAGAGTCATTTTGAGAATCGTCAAAGCGAGGCAGATTTTGGACGACCACCACGCCAGCCCCAGAGCCGCATCTGGAAGCATGGCACAAACATCGTCAAATTGGGTTTGCCAGTGTGGAAAGCATGCTCAGCCTTGGCATTGCTACTGTCGGTGTGGCAAGGGAAATCACGGAGCGTCGCCGCCACAGGTCGCAGAGTCGCTCACGTCAGATCGCTGCCCACGACAGAGCCGCATAGCATTACATCCAGAAAGTGCCTCTTGCTCCGATAGAAAATCATGCCGAATTGGATGGCTGGAAACCGCCTCAAGAAGGCGATCAGCTCGTCCAGTACAAACGCGCCAATGAGAGACAGCTCACATTGGTAAACTTGACAGTTGCGGCCAAACTCGCCAACACGTCAGACACGCAAAAGCAAGAGGAACTCGCTATGTTGGCGTACTGTTTCAGCACCCTCAAGCCCATCGGAGACCAGTGGGCAGATGCGAGGTACCGGAAGAACAAGCTAGAGCCGGCCTTGCGCGAGACGGTCAACAAAAGAAAGGAGTTCGAGATGAGATCGAGCGAGTTAGAGGAGCAGATCCAGGCCGTGAGGTCCGCAGAGCAGGGCTTAGAGCAGCAGCAGCAGCAGGAGGAGGAGTGGTAGCAAAACAATGGCGTACTCAGGAATCTCCAGCATGCACCCATGGAAGCCAACACAGGACAATATTACGGGGAGGTTCCTCAGCCTCTGCAGCCGCCGCCACAGCCACCTGCTGCAGGGTGTGTCATTCGAGACCCATGCGGTGGCCGCACTGGCTGGGGCCATCTTCCGACGAGGGCAAGGGAGCCTCCTCACAAGATTGGGGTCAATACGAAGCTCGCCTACAGTCCTTAGCCGCCGGATGCTATTGCCTCTGCCCTCCAGGTCATGATGTCCCGTCAGGATACCATGGGGAGGAACAGTTCACGATGTTCCGGTAAAACTTGATGACGACGATCCTCGACAAGGGTTCTTCGGCTGAAAAAGGTGGGGTTGACCGCGGCTGGGCAGGCTGGAAAAGGGGCCTGGCCAGTTGCAGCCAGCACCTTTACCACAAGAGCCACCTCAGCAGAGTGGTCAACTGACGAGTCCAACGGAGAATAAGACACCGCCAAATTCAGCCAGAGCAGTCAGCCCGACCCCAGTCGCTCATGCACAAAGGACAGCATCGCAAGCGGCGGCCGACGAGCGCAATCGTGCGCATCCGACGCCACTCACCACAGGCATCATGGAGCACATGCAGGCAGCAGACAAAAAGCTCCAGCAAGCAGAGGACGCAGCCTTTCCTGGGGCGCCCGGGCCGGCTCAGCCCTGGGGATCGATGGCTTCAGATATTCAGACGTTGCCAACATCACAGACACTTGTCAGACCGACGCAGCCGATGAATGGGAGGCAAGAGGAGGACATGTTCTTAGTTGGACCATCGCGAGAGGTCACGGCGAATCCGTTACCGGGAGCGACTCACATTTGGTTGACACAGCAGATGCAAGTTGCCCCCCATCAAGTCGGGAGCGAGACCTTCAGAGGGAGGCTCGGGGAGCATGTTGCCTTGCAAGTCCAACATGCCACCGAGCATCGACACGGGTCTGCAGGATGTTCGCCGAGGATGCCTGCGCACAGTGAGTCCAAGAATGCTGCTGGTGCACAAGATGCAGCAGATTTTCCCAGCTCGCTCGATCGCAAGGCCAGGCGTTTTTCTCCTGCCTCTGTGGATCACTTGCATGCGCCACTCTCGACGGGCGGCTTTGTCGGCGCTCCTTACCGTCTCTTTTGCTTTCTGCTCCTGCCCCCCCATCTGCTCTCGCAGCGTCCGCCACCGCAAGGCGACCCACGGTTTGCAGGGCCCTTGAGCGCGCGGGGGCATCTCAGTCGTTCCAGCGCAAGTCTTACGGCGGTGGTTTCCGATAGGGGCAGTCCAAGGCGCCGCGCGCACGTCGCAATGCACGGACAAGGGGATTTAAGCGCGCGAGGTCTGCGCTAGTCTCGAGGGCGAGGCCACTGTGCCCCAGGAGGCAGACACATCGCGTGCCGCACATGACTTCGCCCCCTTCTGCGACGGGGGTGCGACTTACGGGCGGTCAGACTCAGCCGACCCCCCCGCCCCCCGCGCGGCGGCGACGCCGTCTCGGCGCCAGCGCGGCCACCCCCATTCTGCCCATCCGAACCTCGGATTCCAGCGTCTTGCACGGCACGTCGCGCATGCCCTGCCGCCACGCCGCCCAGGGAGGCTCGCGAAGGGGGGCCCGTGCAAGACCTCGAGCACCTCGCGCTGAGCTCGAGGGCACGGGCCTACTCGAGCCAGAAGCCCAGTTGGGCCTCCAGCCGCGCCCCTCGGGACACCAGCACTCTGCGCAGCTGCGCACCGACGGCTCGCCGTTGACCCGGGAGGCGGCAGTCGCTGAGCAGGACGAGCCAGGGATGTTTTTCCAGGGGGCATTGGGAGGGGGCATCATCAGCACGAACTACGCGGGCATTTGCCCCAAGCAGAGCACCGGCACCACGACAGAGCGCCTAGGCTTGATTCATGGGCTGCTTGGGCTTGCTAGCATCAGGCCCACATGAATGCATCGCGACAGACTTGCTTCTTGCCATGGGAGCCGCAGGGAACGTTCGCGCCAGGATGCGATCGGCAGCTCCCCCTCTACTTCGAGATTGTTTTTTTCGCGCCGTTTCCACGAGGGCCCAAGTGGACATGGGAC